ATATGAGGTAAAATTAATAATAAAATGTACTGAAAATCTAAAATTTATTCTCACTAAATTTTTTTATTATTAGATATCTAATTTATTAAATAAATATATTATTTTTAACCTTTAAAATCAAATTTTTAGGCAGATGTACAATTTTAGATTATCTTTGTTATAGGCAAATATCAGCAAAGGTTTGTATAAAAAGTTCAATGATATTTGGCTTTAAAAATCGAAGTTATTAGAAGCTGTTTTTATAATTTATTTTAGAAAGATCATGACAGACAACATTATGTACAGAATTAATTGATGAGAATTAAATATGCCTTGTAGTTGTAGTGATTAGAATGGAATTTCAATTATCGAAGAGCTGGGTATTTAGAGGAATATAAATTATTTTATAAAAATATTTATTAGAAGGTTTCAATTGAATATGAATGATATACAACATCGCAATCATTATTATAACTAAGTCAAGACAATGGCACTAACAGATTTTTTAGGGAATTGTGAATTTATAAAAAAAATGCTGAACTTGGGAAGAGGAAGTATTGATGCATACATTAGATCCTTAAAGAAAAGAAATTACAAAAATGATAATAAATCTATTATGGCTGCTCCAGAAAAAAACTTTTCGATTAATATAAAGTGGATTTTAAAGCAGAAAGATCAGTTTCAGATAACATTAATGATGAAACAATACTTACTACTATAAAGGTTAAGCTTTAGATTCAGTAATAATCTAAATCAATTATAATATATTATAACCTAATCGATAAACTTTTGAATTTAATGAATGTTTAAAGGAAAATATTCGTATATTGTGAATCAAAGTTAAACTCTGAATTCAAAAGAAAAAGGATTTTCAGCATTTATAGAAAATAACTTTGAATAGATTAATCATATGTTCTGATTTAAGTATTCGAACACTTAATTGAGGTTAAGTTAAAATATTTTGATTTTGTAATTAAAATTAAATTTTCTTAAAAATAGTTTGATGAAGTGGTGATTTATGATTTATAGGCAATAAATTTCATCCTTAGTCTTTGACTCTACCGTTATATGAAGTTTAAAGCCTAATTTTTTCTGATTACCCAATTTTTAATTTTAGAAATAGTTTAAATGACATATTGATAAAAAGCATATTGAAATTCTAATTAGGTATCTCTTTAACTTAAATTAATATTTATAACTTTTTGTTGCCATAATTTTGGGCTTAAGCTTAATCCAATTATTTTAGATGTAAATATTTAAAAAATAAAAATTATATTTTAGATTTAGGAGTTTCACTAACATATATAACAAAAATTAAATAAAAATGGTTATCTATACGCAAATATATGCAATCTAATTTAAAAATTTTAAATTTCATAGAAGCATGTTAATAATTTTTATCAATCTTAAACATGTAAGAATTAAGAAATTGATTATAAAATTTATTATTATATTTCCATATTTTTTAGTATTATAGATTTATAAATGAATATTTAATGTTTATCTTGAAATGCTAATTGTTATTATTAGAATTAATAAATATATAATATTTCAACAAATTATTTTCTTGATCAAATATTAAATAAAAAAATGCAGTAACAATCTAGAATATTTTACTATTAATTGTGTAATGAGAAAATAAATATAATAAATAGTTTCTCGGCTACAAAATTAAGGATTTTAAAAAGAGGCTCTTGATTGTTTAGATTAAGCAATCTCTTTTAATATAACGGATATATACTTTTATGGTTTGAAATGTAAATATTTCTGTAAAACTTTAGCTCTATATTTAGAATAAATTGGATTAATTTAAGAAAGCATTGATTGCTGGGACAATGGAATTGAAAATAATTAAAAAAATTAATTATTTTATATTGAAAAGGGTTGTATTAGTTGCTATATATGTAGCAAAGTCTTTAGAAAAACACGGAAAGATAAATGAAATAATCAAATGTTGGGATAATGCAATCAGTGTTGATTGCAAGAACCCAAATTTTTATAGAGAAATAAGTTTAAAATATTGCAATTAAGTTTAGTTAAAGCTTTATTGAAATAAAATAGAATAGAAGAAATTGTAATTTATTGTGATAAAATACTTGCTTGCAATTCACAAGCTATTGAATTTTATACTGATAAAGGTATCAAAAATTTTATTAATAGCTCTGGCTTTAAAGAAGCTGAAAAGATTTGAAAAAGTCATAGAATGTTGGATGGAAGCAATAGCAATGAATTAAACTTATGTTTATTTCTATAGTTTCCTTGGTATAATTATAAGAAATTAATTAACAGCAAAAGAATTAAAAAGGTAGAATAGAATCGAAGATGCATTATCAATCTTAAATTAGGGAATTTAAAAAAATAAAAATAACATAAACTTTTATAATGAGAAAGGTATATCATAGAAGATATCTAAAGCATAGTTCTTAATTAAATTGTAGAGATATAATGAAGTATTAGAATGCTGGGATGAAGGGATTGAAAATAACTTGAATATTATTGAATTTTATAGTGAAAAATGTAAGATGTAAATGAAATTTAGCATCTTTTCTAGAAAGTTAAGGATTAATGTAATAAGCTCTAGATTTGTGGGATATTGGAATAGAAAATAATAAAAATAANTTTAAAAAGAGGCTCTTGATTGTTTAGATTAAGCAATCTCTTTTAATATAACGGATATATACTTTTATGGTTTGAAATGTAAATATTTCTGTAAAACTTTAGCTCTATATTTAGAATAAATTGGATTAATTTAAGAAAGCATTGATTGCTGGGACAATGGAATTGAAAATAATTAAAAAAATTAATTATTTTATATTGAAAAGGGTTGTATTAGTTGCTATATATGTAGCAAAGTCTTTAGAAAAACACGGAAAGATAAATGAAATAATCAAATGTTGGGATAATGCAATCAGTGTTGATTGCAAGAACCCAAATTTTTATAGAGAAATAAGTTTAAAATATTGCAATTAAGTTTAGTTAAAGCTTTATTGAAATAAAATAGAATAGAAGAAATTGTAATTTATTGTGATAAAATACTTGCTTGCAATTCACAAGCTATTGAATTTTATACTGATAAAGGTATCAAAAATTTTATTAATAGCTCTGGCTTTAAAGAAGCTGAAAAGATTTGAAAAAGTCATAGAATGTTGGATGGAAGCAATAGCAATGAATTAAACTTATGTTTATTTCTATAGTTTCCTTGGTATAATTATAAGAAATTAATTAACAGCAAAAGAATTAAAAAGGTAGAATAGAATCGAAGATGCATTATCAATCTTAAATTAGGGAATTTAAAAAAATAAAAATAACATAAACTTTTATAATGAGAAAGGTATATCATAGAAGATATCTAAAGCATAGTTCTTAATTAAATTGTAGAGATATAATGAAGTATTAGAATGCTGGGATGAAGGGATTGAAAATAACTTGAATATTATTGAATTTTATAGTGAAAAATGTAAGATGTAAATGAAATTTAGCATCTTTTCTAGAAAGTTAAGGATTAATGTAATAAGCTCTAGATTTGTGGGATATTGGAATAGAAAATAATAAAAATAATCAATCATTTTACTATCATAAAGGTAAAATAAAAGATTTTGTTATCAGCTTGTCTCTTAGAAGAGTTAGATAGGTATGAAGAAATCATTTAATGTTGGGATAAAGGTTTAAAGTATAATTAGAATGAAATTCACTTTTACAAATAAAAATGTATCTAATAGAAAAGAGTTTATTAGCTAATGCATTATTTGAACAAAACAAATTTTAAGAAATGCTTGATTGTTTGGATGAAGGAATGAAAATAAATAAAAATGATGTGAAATTTTTCTTATACAAAGGTTGAAAAATAATTTTAATATTTAAAAAGCTTAAACTTTAATATAAAATGAAATGTTAGTTGAAGCAATATAGTGTTGGGATTAATTTACTGTTCACAATGTAGAGGAATTAGATCATTATTAATAAAAAGGGATTTGATATATTATATTTCATTAGGTTAAATTTTAGTTAAGATGAAGAGTTATAAGAAAGCTATTTAGTAATTTCGTTTGTCAGAAGATGATGATAGAGTAGAGATTTTGAAAAGGAATTGTTGAAAATAAAAAAAAAGTTGTTTATTAAATAATAAAATAAAATATTAAATATAAAATTTGATTTAAAATAATTACTAATATAATATATTTTCAAAATGTTCTTTTATGAATAAGAGACATTTTGCCTTCAGGATTTTCTTCATACTCTTGTTTGTTGATAGCTAAAGATTAAAATGTTTTGAGTGATCCAAGCATTGAACCACCTATCCAAGCACTATATTTTCTTTGGAAATCAGCAACAAAATTGAATTCTGATCTCATAGCGCCTCCTGGATAGATTTAACAAATGTCATCTTATAATCTTGATATGAGTCCTTAAAACATTGAAGTACCTCCTCCTAATACCATATTAGAGACTAACTCTTATCTCAATTCTTTATCGCATCTTTAGATAGAATTAACAATCATTTATGGCAATGAAAAACTATTCTTATTTACAATATTAGAATCAAATAATGCTTCTGAACAATGATATCTAATTTTAGGAGTGATTTGAATGACTTATTCATCTGGTAATTCATAACTTTTTTCTTCTTCTGTATAATTATCTTCTGAGTTTACCTGTATATTTTAAGGATATAAAATACTTGCATTTCATAATCACTAGCTATATAACACATTTTTTCTTTAATGTCTTTAATAATCCATAATTTTTCTTCTTCTGAAAATTTATCTAATGATATTTCATAAGTTTTGAGGTCATTTTCCAAACATTAAGTAATTTCAGCCCCAGAAATATGAGAAAATTCTAAAGCATGCATTATAGGGAATCCTTAATAAATTGGAACAACAGTATTGACAGCATGACCTAATTCAATTGATAGACCGCTTAAAAATAGTAATAAAAGTAATATTACCTAACTAATCCAGTAGAAAATAATGATAAACTAGCTGAGTTCATAAATAAAACTGATTAAACTTTGAGATAATCAAAAAAGACTTCAGCAAGTTTTGATTTATACTCTTTAGTATTTTTGACTTGATCAATGATTAATAAATTAACTTATTGCAATTCAGATATTTATAATCCATCTTCAAGAATATATTACCAAAATTCTTTCATTGATTCAACATTATCAATTTTCTAATAAAAAATAAATTAATAGATTTGATACTCCATCTTTGATTGGATTGGATAACTGTACATTCAATTTTTTTTCTCTGATCACTTTTTTTAAATCTTAGCCAAATAAAAGTTATGGTTTATTGTTTGGATTATCATTATCATTTTAAACTGAATGTGATCCACATTTATTATCATAGATAAGCTAAATAATATAATTGAAAAATGACTCTCGGATAATCTTCTCCAGAGATACCAACTTTAATAGTATCAGTACCATTATCAATAACAACAATATCTTTTTAATCATATTCACTCTCCATTGTGGCTCTTTTATTGGTCTTCATTTATATAGTTAATATATATGATTATTTATAATTATTCAATGCTAATGTTATTAATGAGCAGCTCCAAAAGGATTTTGATCGTGTCTCTATTAGATAAATAAAATAAATTTACAAGAGATGAATAACGTCTAGCTAAACCACCTGAGGAGTGATCTCCTTTTAGAGCAATAACTTTATGTTCAGTTTCCATAGGATTAATTTCTTTACTTCCACATTCACAACACATATCTTCTTTGATAAATTTTAGGAAAAAGCATCCTATTATTGAGATACATCCAAATCCGATACCAATTAACCTAAAATATTTTCAATAAATATTAAATACCATTATTCGACTTTAAGTCCAAAATTACCATAGAGACCGATAGCTTTTGATCCAAATGTGACCATAAGAATTTAAATACAGAAAATAACAGGCACAATCATCATGAAAGCAGTATGTTTAGTTAATCCTTCAAAAATATTGATTTCATCATTAAATCTTCTACTATTCAGAAAATTGAATAATTGAAGCATGATAAAAACATTAAAAACATAAGTAAACTAAATATTAATGAATTTATAATACATGACGAGATGGTTCATGACTTACTTCATAAAATACAGCATAATCTCTACCACCTTCAGGAGTATTTAATCTACCACTAGCAATTAAAGTGCAACTTTTTTCATAATCACAAGGTTAACAAATAATTTCATAACATTTATTCTCATGACAAACACACTCTGATGATAAACAAGATCCGCTTGTTTTAACGTCTTTTGATGAAGTGACATCAGGAATTAATTTCATTTCTCCTCCATTTTAATCATAATATTATTTAAGATCATCATAAGTAACTTTGCATAAATGATCACTATATTTATATCTTATTTTTATTCCTCCAAATGCTGTATTATCATATGAATCATGATATTCTGGTAAAAAAGAATCTCCTACAAATACAATAATCAACACTACTGCTATCTATATCAATGCTGTTCCAACTATAAATTTAAACATCTTTTTTGATATGATATATTCATTTCTATCATGTGGTTTACGATTTAATAATTTCTCTGTAGGTGGCTCTGTAGCTAAAGCAAGAGATCCTAATGTATCCATAATTAAATTAACCCATAATAATTATATTGGTTTCAAAATTTCTTAACTTAAAACTGCTGCTCCTATTAATGTCAATCCCACACTAACTAAATTTGCAGTTAATTGAAATCTCAAGAATTTTTTAATGTTATCATATACATTTCTACCCCACATAACTGCTTTAACAATTGAATTGAAATTATCATCCAATAGAATAATAGCTGCTGCTTCTCTTGCCACTTCTGTTCCTGCTATACCCATAGCAAAACCAACATCAGCTTTTTTTAGAGCAGGAGCATCATTTGTACCATCTCCTGTTACAGCAACTACATGACCTCTTTCAATTAAACCAGTTACTAATGCATATTTATCTTCAGGTCTACTACGAGCTAGCACATCTAAATGAGGATATATTTTATCGAATTCTGAGGCATTAGCTATTGTATCAACTCTTACATCCTTATTTTCCTTCTTTGCTGTTGTACTATCTCTAGCACAAGGACATATTGCTGTTTTACATTTTGTACAAACCACTCCTCCAATCTTGGCTATAAATTCAGGTCCTTCCATAACAATTGATTGATCATCTCCAGCTGTTATAATACCACATTCTTTAGCAATAGCTCTTGCAGTCATTTTATTATCTCCAGTAACCATTCTTACTTTAATTCCAGCTCTTCTACATAATTAAATAGCTCTAGGAACTTCTTATCTTAAAATATCTTTGATTCCAAGGACTGCAACAAGTGTTAAATCACTCTATTCAACAGCATAAACACCTTTATTGTCTTTTGTAGTTAAATCTTCTCTTGCACTAATATCTTTATATGCTAAACAAATAGTTCTTAAAGCTCTTCCAGCCATAGTTTCTATAGCCTTTTCAACTTTTTATTTTAAATCTTAATTCATTGGAACAATGGATCCATTTCCTTTAGAATGATATTATGAACATGCCGCTAAAACCATTTCAGAGGCCCCTTTACAAACTAATCTACGTCTTCCACCATCTAATTCTAGTACCACAGACATTCTTTTTCTTAAACTGCTAAATGGGAATTTTGTACTAGCAGGATATTTTTCTTTAATTTCTTCATAATTCATAGAGCATCTCTCAATAAATTCAAGTAATGCAATTTCTGTTTTTGATCCTTTAGGTTCAGGTCTAAGCATAGCAGATCCATTGACAATAGCACTTTGAATAAAGTATTCTTAAAAGTTTTATGGGAAATAGGATGTTAATTATTATTTTTCTGAATATGTATCAATTTCAATAATGTCATCATTCCAAACATTAACAAGTGACATTTTATTTTATGTTAAAGTTCCAGTTTTATCAGAACAAATCATAGAAGCTCCACCCATAGTTTCACAAGCAGCCATCTTTCTAACTAAATTTTAATCTTAAAGCATTTATTTAGTAGAATAAGCCAAAGATAACGTTACGGCTAATGGTAATCCTTCAGGAATAGCAACAACAACAACAGTGATTCCAATAATGAAATATCCAATGATTGTAACGACCATATAGTTTTCCCAATCATCATTTACTCCCCTTTCAATACCAAATCTTAAACACATAACAGAAACAATCAAAATAGCAGAAATTAATCCAAATTTACCAATATCTTCAGCAATCGCTGTTAATTTCATTTATAAAGGAGTAGCTATTAATTTAATAAAATAAATACCTTCTGGTTCATCTTATCTTAATAATGCTGCAATCTTACCAGCACAAGAAGAGTCTCCTACAACAAGAATAAGCATTCTTCCCTCACCACTCAATACTCTTGTTCCACTCATCATTATTGGAGATGGAACATCATGATGACCAGCTGTATTCTAATAAAATATAATGATATTAATATATTACTTATCCTCCTTCTTCTTTTAATTAATTTCTTTTATTAATACATTCACTTAATACATTTTTCTTAATTGGATCAGTTTCTCCTGTCATAGCACTTTCATCTGATGTTAAATCTGATGCTTCTAATACAAATCCATCTGCTGGTATTTCCATTCCTTCAAATATTTATACAACATCTCCAACTAGCACTTCACTCATATGAATATCACATTTCTTTCCATTTCTAACTACTGTCACTCTTTTTCTTTCATCAGCAACTTCATTCAATTTTTAAAATTATCGTTCTTTTTAATAATCATTTACTGCATTTGCATTAGTTGATATAATTACTGCCACCAATATTGCAAATCCTATTTTAATTTAATATCTCTAATACCTTCTATCCATGCTAATTACCGGTAACTTTCATCAGCAGTTGAAACATCTACTATTATACTGATGACTGCTGCTACACATAAAACTTTCATTGTAAAGTCATTTAATGCACCCAACCACAACTCACAATAACCTTTTGGTTCTATTTTCGGTTTCCTATTGTGTCCAAATGCTCTCTCTCTCTCTAGTTAGTCCTACATCGTCAAACCAAACTTGAAATCTGTACATAGTCCTTCCTTTTATATTATTTCAATTATATACCTCAATCATCTTCTCTCCTATCTCTTCCAATTTGTCTACTTCCTCTGCAAACACTCTCTCTTAACACATATAAGCAATCGAACACAATGTTTGTTTAGCTATTCGAAATTTACCATATGGTTCACTCCCATCGTCTTTCATTTATTCTTGCTGTGTCATCGGATCATCGTCAGCCATTGGTTATTATTATTATTATTATAATCTTTTATATTTCAAACTATATGAATTTGAAACTGTTATATATTAATAAATCATCAATATATTACAAATAAGTATCTACTTACCTGAATCATTCTTCATTCCTTAAATCTTATCCTTCTATTCATTTCTTTAACAATTTCTTACTTTTACTAAATACTATCACCTCATTATTACTCTTTTCATCTATCTAACATTTACTATTTCTTTCTACTTTTCATTTTTCACAATTATTTCCTAATTTCAATATATTATACTCTAAATTTTCATTTTTCTATTTTAAATATATATTTACATTATTTTTATCTCTTTAAATCCACCCTCTTTCTCTACATACTATAGAAAGTTAAAATCCTTTCTTTTTCAATTAAAACCATTACATCATCACTTTTATGCAATACTTGATTCTTAATATCTCTTATTCAGCCTAATTCGACATTAGGTTGCAATAAAATTCAAAAATATTTTACTTTACAAATACTTAAGATCTACAGTCTAAAAGGTCTAATCTTTCATTGAATTTTTTAGATTTTATTCTTAATCAATCATTCGACATTCTTTCATATTAGTTATCAGTATAAGAAAATTTAAATTCTTATCAAAAGATTTCATTAATCAAATTACGCAATTATATTAAACAAATACAATAATTTTTTTACACTTTCTTCAGCAGCACTTAGAATCAGTTTTCTTCATAAAGAATAAAAAAATCACTAATCAATTAAATTTGGAGCTAAAAGATAACAAAATAATACACAATACCCTCAAAACTATTAGAAAAAATACTGATTTTTTTTATATATGAAAGTTCATATTAATTAAAAATAAAATTCAATATCTTTACTTATTATAATGTTGAATTTCAATGCCTCAATACATAAGGATTAAGCAAACCATCGAAAAATAATACAATTCCATTACTCCATGATAAAAAGGATCTTTTTATTATTTATTTAGCAGGATTGAATTGATTGTAGATGAAAAGGATACAGGATAAGATAACAATCATAAATAATATCATATTGATTCGCAATTGAAATAAATTATGATACAAGGTTTAAGTTCTATTGACTAGTTTTAAAAAGCATATAAATTATAGATATATATCAAGCTATTATCCTGACTCAGATTATTATCTCTTTAATTTATTTAAAGTAATTGAATGATAGATAAGTGGTCATTAAAAAATTCAAATCAAAAGAATTTGCATTCTATTGTTTACTTTAGGAGTTTGTAAGTTTTAATCTATATTTATGTTGGAATTTGATATTTTTATTTGTTTAAGTGAATAATAATACAATAATTTTATACTCAAAAATGACCAAGCCTATTTTTATACACGTTATCTAAAGTTGAAAAAACGAAAATACTTTTAAAAACGAAATAACTAACGATCTAGAGGCTTTTAGAATTTTTAATTTTGATAAATAATATCCCAATTATTAGTTATTTTCAAAAGGAGACTTGGTTTTTTTTGTTTTTGAAACAAAAAAGGTTTAATTCTATGATTATTTATGTTAAATATGTAGCACCAATTTACATGATGATGCCTCATTAATTCAGTAAATATTAATTCTCATAAAACTTTTGATAATATTTTTATTTAGAAAACTTATAAATGTTTCAATTTAGCTGATTTGATTTGATGTTTTTCCAGAGCTTAAAATTATTACCAGTGATTTTATTGACCTTTTAATACTTTAAAGAAAAAGAACAAAGTTATTTCAAATATCCTACTTTTTAATTATTGATATTTGATATATTACCGTTACTCATCTTCTGCTTACAAATAGTCCTATTCTATAAGAATTGGATTGATACGAAAATATGATGAATATTATTATACTAATTTGCTGTCAATATATGTTTATCATTTTACCACAGAAATAATTGGAATTTTAGAAATTAATGAACAAGAATAATAACTTGTATAAAAAAGAATACTGACTATAATGTTGAATATTTTGATAATATAATTTTATAATTAACAATGGAAATAATATGGATTATCCAATTAATATTAACAGAAATTTTCTTGTTGTGATTTGAATTAGATTGGTAATTAGTATTTTACCTCGTAATACCTGTGTTTAAATTTATTTAAGTTGTTATTTAATATTATGAAAGAAGGAAAAGGAAGAATAGTTGAATATAATATAAAAAAGCAAAAAAAATAGAATTAGAGGGAAAAGATATGAATGAAAATTAAATGAGAGAAATTGAAATTTGAAAGAGATATTTATGGATAATGAATGATTTGAACATTTAATATTAAATATATCTTAATAAATGAAGCCATAAGCTGTTCCTTAATCAGTAGCATAAAGCGATCATGAATTGGATAAACATCATCATGAAAGTTAAGCAGACGAACATGGAGATGAACATCACTTTAAAGAATATTCAGCTAAAGAGCTAAGGAGTATTAAAATATAGGGTATCGTATGTTTATTGGGTGGTATTGCACTTCATTTTGTACTTGGTACATTTTATCTTTGGGGAGGCATAAGTAATTTAAATACTTTAATGTATAGGTCCTTATGTAGCTGCCTATATGAAAGAAAATGATCCAAATGTTACACAATCAACACTTTCGATTGTGTTTCCAATTTTAGGAATTGCCACAAATTCTGTTCTTTCATTTGGAGTTAAGTTAGCTTAGAGAGTGGGATTTAAAACTATGATTGCTGGAGCTGGATTTTTAATATCACTTGCATTTTTGATACTGTCCTTCATTAATAATATTTATGGATTCATCTTGATATATTGTTTAATGATTGGAATTCCATCAGGATTAGTTTATATGTTGCCAATAAGTAAATTTATATTTATTATCAATTAGTTTGTGGATGGAAATATTTTCCATTTAATAGAGGAATGGTTTCTGGATTGATCATTGCAGGTTATGGATTTGGAGCATTTACATTCAATTTTGTTTGCAAAGCTATATGCAATCCCAATAATGAGGAACCTGAAATTGGTTTTGAAGAAAATGGAAAAATAAAGAAATATTTTTCAAAAGATGTTTATGAAAATGTTCCTTTTATGTTCTAGATGTTAGCATTGTAATTAATTATTGAATTAATTTAGATCATATTTCATATTAACTATAATTTCAGTTCTATTAGTTAAATATCCAAGAGATTTGAATTTAGAATATTAATAAGTTTTAGGAGAAGGTAATAAAAAACCAAGTGGTATAAATCATGAGAAATCTGTTGATTATCATCCAACAGTTATGCATGCAGAATGCGAGACTTTAGGATAAGGTTTAAAATCAAGACCTTTTTGGTTTTTAGTAATTATGGTGTTATGTTCAATTATATTTGGTATGCTTTTAGCCAATTGTTATAAAATATTTGGATAAACCGTATAAATTAATTAAATATAATTAGCTTGGTATTGATGATGCTAAATTAACAATACTTGGTTCAGTCTAAGCAGTATGTAATGGAGGTTCAAGATTTGGATGGGCAGTTTTGTCTGATAAAATTGGTTTTAAAAAAGTTTATTTGATAATAGCAGTTATCAATTTAATTTGTACTGCATCTATTGGTTATATTGAGAATAGTTATGCTGGTTATTTCATTATTTTATGTGTAACAATGTGTTGTGAAGGAGGTTTGTTTTCTTGTTATCCTGCAGTTAGTGCAAAGATATTTGGTCATAAAGTAATATTTATTTAATTATTAATATAGGTAGGACCTATAATATATGGTGGATTATTCTTTGTTATTGGTTTATCCAATATGTTAGGATATCTATTGTATAAATTTGGAGAACCAGAAATTGGTTTTGGTGGAGTATTCTGGATTGTTTTTGGATTTTGTTGTGTTGCTTTCATATTGGGAGTGTTTTTCAAAGAAGAACATGATTGGAAAAAAAAATGAATAAATTATAAAAATTACGGTATTTCCAAATGTATTTATTATCTTATATAATTCTTATTAATTTATTTGATATTATTGAGAGAATTGCGAGATTTTAGATGTTAATTATAATTGAATAATTCTCGAATATATTGTATAATTTAAATTATTATTATATTTAGAATGACTGATACTAAAGGATCAATGGTGGCACCATTATCTAAATATAAATTGGTATTCTTAGGAGATTAATCTGTCGGGAAAACTTCTATAATAAATCGTTTTATGTTTGATACATTTGATGGCAAAGATCATGTAATTGAGTTTGAATATTGAAGCCTACAGTTGGAATTGATTTTATTTCCAAGACCCTCTACTATGAGGATAGAACTATTCGTCTTTAATTATGGGATACTGCAGGATAAGAGAGATTCAGATCTCTGATACCTAGCTATATTAGGGATAGTGCTGTAGCTGTAGTTTGTTATGATGTTGAGGGTATATTGTGATAATAAATAGTGAAATAATCATTTGATAGTGTTGTAAAATGGATTGAAGATGTACGTCTAGAGAGAGGCAATGATGTTATAATCTTTTTAGTGGCCAACAAAATTGATCTTGAAAATAGGTAATTAATTGCAGACTAATGATTAGGGTTGTATCCACAGAATAAGGTGCAACTTTAGCTAAGGAATAAGATGCTCATTTTATTGAAGTTAGTGCAAAATCAGGAAGCAATGTTGAATTACTATTTAAATAAATAGCAGCTACTCTTCCAGGTACTGAAACATCTTAAATGGTTAATTCAGTTGTAAACAATCCAACTTAACGTATTATATCTTTATTATTCATAAGCAAATAATGTAAAATTAGATAACCCATAAAATTAAGATTAGGAAAAAAATGATAGAAAGTCATGTTGTTGATTTCCTTTTATTATAATATATATATATTTATTTTTCTTCTTTATAATCATCCTTATCTCTGAATTCATAATATTTCTAATTTATATGTTAATTTTTCCTTTTTAATTCTTGAAACATGCATACTTTCTCATTTTCCAAACAAAGCTTTTATCATTTTATTTTTAGACGTCTTTTTTACAATAATTTTTTAAGCCTTTAAAGATAAATCTAACTAGTTTTTAAAATTCTAATCTTATCCTATCAATTTATTCAGGAAACAATTTTTAATCTCTTTTAAAATTATTACATAAAATCCTTTATTTTAATATTTCTTTGCCTGCGTTATTTTTATTTTATAATTCATCAAAAGAATTTTTACATTAATTATGCTCTATCAACTAGAATCCCTACAAGAATAACACTGAAATTAAAAAATTTTAATGATCAGTTTTAAATCTTAACTCAATAATTTGATTAATTTATGATAGTAATTATTTAAAAATAGAATAACATGGATGTTATTTGAATTAAAGCTTATCGATTAGACCTTAAATATTTTTTCATCAATTTTTTCAAACAAACTCTCAAATTATTATCTAATTTAGATATCGCTAAATTTATTTATATAGACTTCATATCAATATCATAAAAATAAATTTTTATAATAATTCTAAGCATATCAATACAATACTGCACATTCAAGATTACCTACAGTCCTGTCAGAAAAAATGTGAAATTGTTCTTCTTATTTTTAGATTATTGTAATTTATAAATTTATAGAAATAGCAAAAATTAATCTAAGTTTTAAAACAAAGCCACTTAAAATTATCAACATTATTTACAATATTTATCAATTAATTAAAATAAATAATAATGAAAGCCAAAACTAACTAAAAAAATCAATAAGCAATTCTACTTCCACCTATTGATAGAAGATAAACTCAATCAATTTAGTTTGATTAAATTAATTAATTGATCAATTAATCATTATTTAATCCTAAATAAAACAGAGCTTAATCTCTATAGTCTTTAGAATCATAAGCTCAAGATTCAGCTAAACAGTAAAGTAAAGTTTCTCCGAGGAAAAATATTAAGGATTACAATAAATGGTATGTTCCTCCAAAACAAAGATTCCTTGATTTAAGAAAAGAGTCAGAAGAATTTTAATAAGAACAATATATTATAACCACATATGCTTAATAATAAATGAAATACAATTAAATATTGAGGGAGTCGAAACAATTGGCATAATTTGTAGATGAGGTAATCATAATTTTAATCATTATCTAGTTTTATAAAAAACATAAACGCAGCCCTTCGTTCATTCATTGATATTATATTAATTGTAATAAATTTTAAATTTAAGATTTTACTCTTGTTTGAAGAAATTCAAAACTGACAGAACTTTTGAATTTTAAATTAATAAGATTAATAAAAGATTGTTGACATTCTAATTTTCTAATAAAATCTCTCTCAAGTTATACAATTCTCCCACGTTTATGAAAAGTTTGAAAACAATATCTTAATTAGGTTCTTATAATTAGATAAAAAAGATTTTGATTTTTTTTTTCCTGAATGTAGATTGCCAATTTTCTAAAACAAAATTATCAAAAAATTCTTATTAGCTCTCAGAGATAAATACAGAAAACTGTATATAATTTAAGGGAGAATGAATAGTTTGAAATAATAAATATTTTCAAAATGTAATTTAATTTACCTAACATTAAGAATAAACTAACAATTTTCAATTAGAACATTAAAAAAGGTTTTTTGACATGAAATCAGGATCTAAAAATTTAACTTTGAAAATGAAAAAAATTTTTCATAATATACTCTATTTTTTCAGCCCTGATCACAAGTATTTAAAATGAGTTACATATCAGAACTATATCTATAAGTCATAAAGAAAATTATGATTAAACTAATTATATTTTCTAGAATCTGAAAATTATACTTATTTGAAAAAAATTTGCTTTTTTCTACTTTTAATATCTGTTAATTTTATTAAAAATCAGAACAAAAAATTTCTTTTAAAATTCTTAGATTTATTATTAGAATAAAAAACTAAATATATAATTTTAATTGATCTTAAAGTTGTTCAAATGAGGAATGTTTTATAAAAAGAAGAAACTCATAGAAGCTATGTAAGAGCTAAAATAATATTCCTTTTTGAAAACATCCGGACAAAGAAATTGAGAAGATAATTTTTTTAATTATATAATATTGAAAAATGGAGAGTAGCTTTTACTTAAAAAAAAAATAATTAAAAAAATGAAATAGCATGTTAAATTTGTGAATGAAAACATACCTTTCATTAAATTAGTTTATAAAGATGGAAAAATATTAATAATTAATGTCCTTTGTGTAGGTAGTAAATTTGAAATTTATATATTATATGTATTTATAATCAAAATTACCCTGATAATAAGTCAATGAATGTATTAATATGAATAATTTAATTATAAAATAGTTTTTTAAATTTAGTAATATCAATTTGTATATTTAAATTTCCTTATTATAAAACATGTTCTATACATATATATTCTAAATCTTATACAGTTTTATTTAATAATTGCATATCTCTTGTAATTTTTTACTTACCATTAAATCTGTAAGGCTATATCTAAGCCATTAAATGTACTATATTTAGCAAATCACCTCCTGTAGCATTTTCAAATATTTATGAAATTTTATCAACTAAATCAATAATGGATAAATCTTTCCAAATAATCGCCTATTTAAAAAGTTTATATTATTTATAAGTTATTACTTCATAAATATTAGTGCAATCGATTTAGAAAGTCAGCAATAAAATTACTAATAGTTATTAATGAATCAGAGTTAAAAATTTATGCTCTAATAGAAATTCGGATAATGGTATTCCATAAATGTTCTAATATTATTTTTAAGTTTTTATAAAATTAAGATGCAGCATCTAATATCTTTATTTTTAGCTATCATTCTAACACTCAATAACTCTTGAAATGTTTGTGTTTCTTTTACTTTTTATCATGGCATTCAATTAATAGAACCTATTATTAGTTGTTGTGTTGCATCTTTTATTTAACTGTTCTTTTTTAAAAGATGATTATTTTTCAACATTTGATTTTGTTGAATAATCTCTTTTTAGCAATTCTTCTATTTATTTATTATTTTCTAGATCTTGTGTTACTTCTAACTATTTCAAATTAAATTTTCTTCTATTTCTTTATTAAGTTTATGGCTTTTAGTATCCATACACTCTTAATAAGCTGCGATTGAAGACTAATTATTCAATTGGTTAAGGATTATATGAGGATGAACTTTTTGTTGGCCTATTAAGTTAAGAAATCGGGTTATTTAAAATTTCAATAATTTTTTTTTTCTCCTTTAATTTAAGCATATAATATTAATATTAAATTTGATTGACATTAATAATATCTGAAATATTATAAACTTCAATACTCTCCAATCAAATCTCTATAATTGATTTTTTAATAAATTCTTCTTCTTAAATTTCTGTTGTTGAGTGATGAATCTTAAGTCTTAAAGTAAGATTATATATTTTTTACTTCTTATTGAGTTGATTACTATAAAGATTGAGTAGGTTATTAAGTTTGGAGGGCTTATTAAATTTTAGGAGGAGATGATTATTATGTTTTTAATTTTTTTTTTGTTGAATTTCTTAATTAATCTAAATCTTGCTTGATTTCATCATCCATTAAATTGAAGCGAAATGCTATTATTAAAATTATCTTTATTACTGTATTAAATTTTATTATCCTTTGTAGCAACGAAAGAGATATTTTTTTCCCTATTTCTGCAATCATCTTATTCTATTATTGGACGTTATTTAATGACTGGAGGTTCTTCAACTTTTTTAATAATTTTTTGTTTCTTAGTGGTTTTGGAACAACTCAAACAGTGATATTGACTAGTTTCAAATTCTATTTGAATATTTTAATTTCTGTTTTTTTATTCACAAATAATGTGATTCTATTAAGTATAGATGATAAGAAAATATTACCCATTTTTAGCAAGAATCACATTAGACCCAACCAGCCTCATCATCATAAGATCCATAAACCTTTAAAGTAATAATTGAAAATTGAGTACTTATTCACAAAAATCACAATAATTTCCTTTATTATATAATTTCGAACATTTATCACAAAAGAAAAGTATATCATTTCTTTTAGACTTGATTTTTTTATCTCCCACATTCTTGCATTAAGGATTATGGCATTTTTTTTACTATTACTATGGTTCATCATCATCAACTGTAATAGGATTATCAGCGTTGTTTTTTAATTTTTAGTTAAAATTTATCTATTGTAGAGGAAATGAGTTTAAGAAATTTGGTTATGAAAACAATTAAGGTTAATTAGGAAGGAATTGCATTAGTTCAATCAATTTAGTAATAGGAGTCATATCTAGATAATAATGGCAAATGATAGTATATATGTTATATAAATAGGAGTGAAAGGGATATAAATAATTGCTTACTCAGTATATTAGGTGTTAAGAAAGCTTCCTTAGATGAATTATTTTAGTTCAAACTTTAGGGTAGATTTTGAAGCAATGATGCTTGACAAAGCTATTATTACAAATCCTGGTTAAAAAATGCTTTCAATAAGTTTTGTTGCTATTAGCTAATATAATCATAAGCATATAAAATAATATAGGGATATCAGTAAATTATTTGTATGTTATAAATAGTAATAATGTCATACCTAAAAAATAGTGAGCAGAAATCTAAATCTTAAGCATTGCCTACAAGAGGAATTTGAGAATTATTATTCCTTCCTTAACTCATTTTTTTATATTGTTTAAATTAAAAAGAACCTAAATTTATATAAATTGCATCTTTTAAAATAAAACAGAAATATAGTCATTATGAGTTTAATATAAAATTGTTTCATAAATCTAATTAAATTTATATTTTATTTTATTTCATGAAATAATCTATAGGACTGAACAATCATCATCACCATCAATATCTTAAATTTCATGAATCTCTTGTTTATTCAAAGTGAGTTCTTCAGTTATTCCTGAGATGTCTTACAGTACATCAGGTCGATTCAAAGTTTCTAATAAAAACGATTATGGATTCTTCTCCATAGCATCTAAAATTTATTAAGAACATGCGACACAACTAAATTATAAATTATTGTTTACTTTTTAAAAGCTCTTCCATAAAATAATCTGATATCAAAATCTGATAGTTGACCTCTTAAGAAATGTGGTAATATTCCCAAATCTGTTTATTACAATTATTCTGGATTATCAGAAGCAGGAGTTCCATCTAATAATGGACTATGTACTAAACTAACAAATAATTCAGATGAATAAGCTGAAGCCAAGAATGATAATCCTGGACGAGTTACTGTGCATTATTAATCTAAAGTTCTATCCTTCATTGAATTTCCAGGAGATGAAATATCATTACAAAAGTAACATGCTAATCTTTCACCATGTATTTCTGGATTATATTTTTTCAATGATATTCCATGTCTTATAATCAAAAATGAATCAAATCCTAAAGCAACAGAAAAACACATCTTTCCATAGGCATTGCTTAATACTGTTGGTAACCATCTTGATTCTCTTGAATCTGTTAATAAAAATACTGCATCATGAGTGCTTACCAATTCACTTAATTTTAAAAATGAATCTAACGTTGATTAGACTTATGATTCAGTTACAAAATGACCAGGCATTGGTATTTAAAGTTAATATCCTTCACTATCTATATCAGGAAAGATCTTTTTTAATTTCTCAGCTGCTACTTCAGCTTTTGGTCTTCCTCCCTTTGTCGAATCTTCAAAATCATATAAGCTTTATCTAACTGGATTACTGTATGATATTCTTCCATAATCAACAAATGTTATTTTTCTTATTCCCCATCCTATTAAATTTCTTGCTAGTTGACAACCTAAAGTCCCTGCTCCTATTAATAGTACTTTCTAGGCTTAAACTTTCTCTAAATCTAATTCAGGTAACAATCTCCATTTCATTAACTTTATATTCAAATCAACAGCTTCTTTTGCCAAACTAAAATATTAATCAAATTATTTTATTACGATTATTCATCCATAAATGATTTCAAATCTATTTTCTTTTCTTATAGATAACCCTCTATGTTAAATGCCTTATATTATCCATTTTATTATATTATTTTTGATTCAGATAAATTCAACTCTATATATATTGAATTTTTTAATTAGAATTGATTTTTATTAATTGTCAAAGCATCTTTAATTACTATTATTTTTATATTATTAATATATTCTTTAAAAGAGTTATTTGTTATTAAATATGCTATAAAGTTATTGAATTGACTGTTCAATTAAGACTAATTAAAAGAATCAAAATATATAAATATCACCTCTTACTTATTTTATTAATATTCTTTAAATGGTACAAATTGGAAACTTTCTTTATTTACAATTACGAATGAATTGTTACATACTTCATTTTATTATTATTGAATTATCAAAGACAATTATTATTAAAATTTCTAATTTTATTCACCTAAATAATCTGTAAGGTTTTTTTAAAGGACATTCTATATGTTTTCTATCTATAATTAGGGTACAATCAATTTAAAGTAGAATAAATATTTCTTTAAATCAGCAAAAATACTCATTCTTGCTGGAAAAAGATTAGGCTTTTCATCTTTTGAGAATGATTCAATCATTTTTTGAAAAGCTTTTTACGCATAATCTAAATGATCAAATTCTTAATATGCTTCAATGGTGTTGTAATTTTAGAATGAAATCTTTGAATAAACCTCAAAAGGACCAGATTTATTGATTGTGATATCATCTTAGAATGAATAAATATCTAAATATAATTAGGAAGTTTTTTCTGGGTATGGATTTATTTTTGTTTTTACTAATAATGATCTCTCTGCATCATCTAATTTGTAGATCTCAATTTTATTTCTAGATAATTGAGACCAAAATCCAATGTCAATCAGTGGTGAAAATGGAATAAATTACATTTTTTAATAAATAATTATAGTCAACAAGGGCCATCAAAGAAGTCTTGAACTGTAATTTATCTCCTAAATTTCCTCTCTCTTTATTCAAACCAATCTTTTCCATATAAGTTTTCCACATAATCAGTGAATGTCACTAATTTATATTATTTTTATTTTTAAGCTGATTAGCTTATTCTTGGTATTTCCACTCCAGTGAAAAATTCTTCCACATCATTTTTGTCATTTAAATCTATTTTCGGTTGTACTTCCCTTTTTCGAAATCGAAATGGACGAACTTCTTTTATTTCCTTCTATTATACGTCACTTTCTGTCTTTATATAACGAGCATTCTCTTCGCTATTAATTTTTTGACCAAAAAAGAAACGTGATCTTTTAGAAGATTGTTGCTCTAGTAAGTTGTCAAGACTGTCTAGATTACCTTAAGGAGAGTTATAGTCTGTAGTTGTAGTATAATTTGATTTCTTTAAAGTTTTTGCAGATTAATTATCTTATTCCATGTCTAGCTTCAAGACATTGTTAGAGTATTAGGAGAAAGTTGTTTTTCGTTACGACATTAATTACTTTGAACTTTTCAATATTAATTAATTTATTCTTTATAGGAGGTTTAGCATTAATTATTTAAGCTTTTAACCAAAAATAGAATCCATTTAGTGTTTCAGTACTGGTCGCAATTTTTGCATTGAGGAATGAAAAGATTCAAATTTTAAATAGAAACAATTATAAAGAATAAACAAGATAAACCAAAACTAAGTTTCTTTCTTTAGCAAATATTTATTTTGTTTAAAATAACTTAATGAAATCTTTTAACAGCTTATAGTATCTTTGATATTTTAAAAAAAAACAAATGAAATCCCTTTAAATATTAATAATTTAAAAATTAAATGAGATAAATTAAATCATATTTGAAAGGAAACTCAAAAAAATATTGATTAATTAACTGATCTGATTTTTTAATTAATTCTAGGAAAACTTTTATTATAAACTGCTGAAATTCATTCTCAGATTCATAAAATGAATGAATAAAATTTTAAATAGTATCATTTTATAGTTAAATTTTATTGAAATATTCATCATAAGAAATTTTGTTTTATATATTTTAATAAAAAATGTAGAGGTATTAAAGATCTAATAAATTGTACAGAGAAACTGAGAGAATAGCATTGAAGAAAAAAATAAATATTGTTTATAAAATAATTTAATAATGTGATGGAATTTCATTACAAAATGAATGAATTTTACAAGTGTATGAATATTATGATTTGAGAAAAATTTTAAATAAATTAAATAATTATGCATTAAGGATAGAGATTAAAAGAAGCTACTGAAGGATAGATAGTATAAGCTGGAAATAAAATTGGAGGTGCTTTTAAAATAGGAAAGCCTGTATATTAAGAGAAGAGATTGAAATTGTTTAATGAAATATATCAACGCTAAAAGGCAGAACAAGAAGCTAAAGAGAAGACCCCAATCACAATAACTCTAAAGGATGGAAAGAAAATAGAAGGTTTGTATATTTAAATATATATAAATAGGTAAAAAGTGGGTTACTACTCCATTAATGATTGCTGTAGGAATAAGTAAAAAATTGGCTGAAAACATGGTGGCTGCAAAAGTGGTGTATGATAGTATATTTGAGAAAAGTATGAATATATATATATGATGAAATAGATTTCGTTGATGTAGATCATGAAGATTAATAATAATCAGCATCTTCATTAAATTTGAAGCCAGATTACTTGATTTGGGATTTGAGTAGACCATTGGAAGGTGATTGTTAATTAGAATTGTTAAGTTTCGATGATAATAATGGAAAGGAAGTATTTTGGCACTCATCTGCTCACATTTTGGGATCAGCATTGGAAGAAGTTTATGGATGTCATTTATGTATTGGTCCTGCAATAGATGGTGGATTCTTCTATGATAGTTATATAGGAGATTACAAGGTTACTTAGAATGATTATGTGAAAATAGAAAAGGCAGCTATGGATTTAGTAGGATAGAAATAAGAATTTTAAAGAGCTGTCTTAACCAAAGATGAATGGTAAAATTGATATATAATAAATATTAAAGTTTAGAATTGTTTGGTACTAATCCATTTAAGAGATAATTGATAACTAATAAGATTCCTGATGGTGCTATGACTACTGCTTATAGATGTGGTAATTTGATTGATTTATGTACTGGTCCTCATTTACCTAATACTAGCTATGTTAAGGCATTTTAAGTAACTAAGAACTCAGCTGCTTATTGGTTGGGTAAGAATACTAATGATGATTTGTAAAGAGTTTATGGTGTTTCCTTCCCTAGTAAAAAATTATTAGATGAATATGTCAAAATTTAAAAAGAATTAGCTTTAAGAGATCACAGAAATGTTGGAAAGAAGTAGAATTTATATCTATTTCATCAATTATCCCCTGGATCAGCCTTCTTTTATCCCAGTGGTGCTCATATTTATAACACTCTTATGAACTTTTTAAGAAGATAATATTATATAAGAGGATATTAAGAAGTTATTTCACCTAATATTTTCAATGCTCAACTCTGGAAAATAAGTGGTCATTATGATAAATATAAGGAGAATTTGTTCTTCATTAATATGGGAGAAGAAGGAGAATATGGATTAAAACCGATGAATTGTCCAGGACATTGTTTAATGTTTGATATGATTCAACACAGTTATAGAGATTTACCTGTTAGATTTGCGGATTTTGGTGTCTTACATAGAAATGAGGTACATGGTGCTTTAAGTGGATTGACTAGAGTTAGACGTTTCTAATAAGATGATGCACATATTTTCTGTAGAATGGATCAAATTTAGGAAGAAATCAAAAGTTGTCTTGACTTTTTAAGTTATATATATTCACTCTTTGGATTTGAATTCAAATTATATTTAAGTACTCGTCCTGAGAAATTCTTGGGAACAAAAGAAGTTTGGGATAATGCAGAATATTAATTAGAATAAGGATTAAAGAAATTTGGAAAAAGTTTTGAAGTAAATCCTGGAGATGGTGCTTTTTATGGACCTAAAATTGATGTCAAATTATATGATGCTTATAAGAGAGAACATTAATGTGGTACTATCTAATTAGATTTTAATTTACCTGAAAGATTTAATTTATAATATAGAGCAAGTGAAGATGTTTAAGAAGTATAAAAAGATAAAGAATAAGTTCATAATGAATAAGTTTAGGTAGCCTAAGAAATTATAGATGTTGTTCGAAAGGCATCTCATCATTCAGACCCTGACATCATATCTACTCCTCCTTAACATCCACAATAATAGCCTGTTGAGATTCCACCTATAGATAATGCTGCATAAGATAAAAATTTTAAAAAATAAAAAAAGTAATAAAATTAACAATAATAATAATAATAATAATAATAATAACAATAAAAATTACCTAATAAAACAAAATTATCTGAGGAGATATTTGAATCTGGTTCAAGCCAAGGATTATCGCAACATGAATTACACAAAGTTTTACATGGTATTTATTCAATCATACTTCTTAGAAAAAAAATATGAATTAGGATATCATCATTTGAAGGCAGGTTTTGCAAGACCAGTAATAGTTCATAGAGCTATTTTGGGATCTTTAGAAAGAATGATTGCTGTTTTGACTGAATAATGCGGAGGAAAGTGGCCATTTTGGTTATCTCCTAAATAATTAGTCTTATGTCCAGTCTCTGCTTATTATAAGGATGTTGCAGAAAAGATATCTGCTAGACTTAGACTTGAAGGATATACTGTTGCTACTGATGAATCAGATTAAACTCTAGCCAAAAAGGTTCGTAATGCTTAAATTTCATATTATAACTTTGTTGGAGTTATTGGAGAAGAAGAAGTACGTGCAGGTGTTATTGATGTCAGAGATTGTGAAAAAAATACCAGAATCGTAATAATTTATTATTTATATCATTCTAGGGTAAATTAACTATTCCATAATTGTGCAAATTCTTTGACTCCTTAAAACCACCTAAATCTAATGTAGAAATTGATATACATGAACATGATGATTCTCATTTAAAGTTGAATGAAGAATTATAAGAAAAAATGTTTTTACATGGAGATGGTTTTGCTGTTGGATAAAGAGATTTTGATGAATTTGCTAAAATTAAAGATATTGATCCTGCTCTTTAGAATTTGGTTAGATGGCATAAATATATGAGTCATTTAGCTAAAAAAGATTAAGCACCAGAATAAGTTCAATAAGAGGAATAAGTAGAATAAAAAGAAAAATAAGAATGAAATAAATTTAAAATAATTCAATATTTAAATATTTTCCATTTTATAAAAAATTTTGATATATCAAAGAATTTCTTGAACTCTTTGAAAAGCAATAATCTCTTGCTAGAATTTAATAATTATATTATTTATATTGAGTATAGAAAAAAATTATTCTTGATTAGATATATGTTTTGATAAATTATAGATACTAAAAATACTTTCATAAATATAATAAAAATATTAGTGAGTTTAATTCAGAGGTCAAATTTTGAGATAAACTTTTTTAATGAAATTAAGAAAAATGCTAATAATAATGATTGATGTGGAAGATTATTTAAAGACCTAAAATCATGAAATAAAAGCAGAAAATAGTTTTTAAAAACATAAAATACTATAAACTCTTTTTCTTACTTACAATATTCACATTTAACAGTTATATTAAAAGAATATATATTAAATTTTTTTTTTTATATATTGATCAATTTAAAGAAACTAATTTATTATTATGAATGAACTTTTTCTTTTTTTTTCGTAATTCTTCAAACTAATGTCCTAAAAAAGATTTTATAATTTATTAATCATTTCTGCAAATCTTTCGTTCTGTTCTGAGTCTATGATTAACTGTTTCAAGATTATTTAAAATATCATTCTTTTTTTTTTCTTTTTCTTATAACAATTTATTTCATAGTAACGAGTTCGCTATTCTTTTTAATATTTTCTGATTTATAATTATTTAAACTAATTTAATTTAATTATTTAATCGATTATAATTCTAAATAGAAAAATTGATTGTAAAATTAAATACTAAATAATTGTTAAGAAGAAAAGTTAAAACTAATAAAAAATTATAATAAAAAAATTATTAAAGAATTAAAATGATTATAAAAAAATGTTTATTTTAGTGAGAAATAAATAATTATTGAATTTTTTTATTTTATGCACAATTAATATAAAACCATGATTTAATTATGGGGAATTTTAAATCTTTTTTTTAAAAAGTTAAAAACATATGGTAAATTTTTCAGTGGATCAAATCAGAGAGATTATGGATAAATAAGACAACATTAGAAACATGTCTGTCATTGCTCACGTTGATCATGGTAAATCAACACTTACAGACTCATTGTTATGCAAAGCTGGTATTATTGCTTCAAAAGTTGCTGGTGATGCAAGAGCAACAGATACAAGAGAAGATGAGAAAGAAAGAGGTATTACAATAAAGTCCACTGGTGTTTCACTTTATTATGAATATGACATATATGACAATAAGACCTTAGAGAAATTTTTAATTAACTTGATCGATTCTCCAGGACATGTTGATTTTAGTTCAGAAGTTACAGCTGCTTTAAGAGTTACAGATGGTGCCTTAGTCGTAGTTGATTGTGTTGAAGGTGTTTGTGTTTAGACAGAAACAGTGTTGAGATAAGCTATGTAAGAGAAAATTAAGCCAGTTGTTATGGTTAATAAGATTGATAGAGCTATTTTGGAATTAAAACATGATGGTGAAACAATGTATTAAAACTTTGTGAGAGTTGTTGATATGGTTAATGTTATTATTAACACATATTAATAAGAAGACATGGGTGATCTTCTTGTTCATCCAGAACTTGGATCAGTCTCATTTGGTTCAGGAAAAGAATGTTGGGCTTTCTCATGTACTAGATTTGCTAGAATTTATGCTAATAAATTCAAGGTTGAACCACTCAAATTATAAGAAAGATTATGGGGTGACAATTACTTTGATGCTGAAGGAAAATGTTGGAGAAAAGATAGTGTCAGTGGATCAGGTAAACCAATGAAGAGAGCATTTGTTGCTTTCATCATGGATCCAATTTGTAAATTGGCTAATGCAGTTATGGAAGGTAATATGGAAATGGCTAATAAAATGTTTGAAACATTGGGATTAAAACTCACATAAGAAGAAGCTAAATTAGAAGGAAAGCATTTACTCAAAGCTGTTATGTCCAAATGGATTAATGCTGCTGATACATTATTAGAAATGATTGTTTGCCATTTACCATCACCAAGAAAAGCTTAAAAATATAGAACTTCCTATTTATATGAAGGACCATAAGATGATCCTATTGCTTAATCAATGAGAGATTGTAATCCAAAGGGACCATTAGTTATGTATGTCTCTAAAATGGTACCAACAACTGATAGAGGAAGATTCTTTGCTTTTGGTAGAGTTTTCTCTGGTACTATTGCTACTGGATAAAAGGTTAGAATCATGGGAGCAAATTATAAAGTAGGAAAGAAAGAAGACTTATTTGAAAAAGCTATCTAAAGAACTGTTCTTATGATGGCCAGCAGAGTTGAATATATTCCAGATGTTCCATGTGGTAACACAGTTGGATTAGTTGGTGTTGATCAATATTTAATGAAGACTGGTACAATTACAGACCATCCAGATTGCCATTTAATCAGATCAATGAAATACTCTGTCTCTCCAGTTGTCAGAGTTGCTGTCTAACCAAAGAACCCAGGAGATTTACCAAAATTGGTTGATGGATTAAAGAAATTATCAAAATCAGATCCATTAGTTTTATGCACAACAGAAGAATCAGGATAAAACGTTATTGCTGGATGTGGTGAATTACACGTAGAAATCTGTTTGAATGATTTAGAAAAAGATTTTGCAGGCATTGAACTTATAAAATCTGATCCAATAGTGTCATACAAGGAAACAGTATCTGCAACATCTAATATCGTTTGTATGTCAAAATCACCAAATAAACATAACAGAATTTATGCTTAAGCTACTCCATTACATGAAAATTTACCAGATGCTATAGAAAAAGGATAAGTTACACCAAAAGATGATCCAAAACTCAGATCCAAAGCCCTTACAGAGGAATATGATTGGGATAAAGATGACTCATTGAGAATTTGGACTTTTGGACCAGATAACGCTGGTGCAAACATTTTGATGGATAAGACATCAGGTGTTTAATATATGAATGAATTAAGAGAATCAATGGAATCTGCTTGGTAATGGTCAACAAAAGAAGGACCACTTTGTGAAGAAAATTAAAGAGGTATTAGAGTTAACATTTTGGATTGTGTATTACATGCTGATGCTATTCATAGAGGAGGTGGTTAAATTATTCCAACTGCTAGAAGATTATATTATGCATGTGAATTGACAGCTTAACCAAGATTATAGGAACCAGTCTTTTTGGCTGAAATTACTGCACCAAATGATGCTACTGGTGGTGTATATAATTGTCTTAACACCAGAAGAGGAACAGTTATTGAAGAAGAATAAGTTGCAGGAACTCCACTTTCTGTGGTATTATTATTATTCTAATTTTTATAGGTTAGAGCTCATTTACCAGTTGCTGAATCTTTTGGTTTCACTGCCCATTTAAGAGGTATGACTTAAGGATAAGCCTTCCCTCAATGTGTCTTTGATCACTGGGCTATTGTTAATGGTAACCCACTTGAAGCTGGATCAAAAGTATTATATTATATTTATCAATTTAGGTTAATGAATTAGTACTATCCATCAGAAAGAGAAAGGGTATCAAAGTTCAATTACCAGACCTTAATGAATATTTGGACAAACTCTGATCTAAATATTGTATTTTAAAAACAACACAAATATTTCAACTTAAATAATCTTTAAATCTTTAATAAAAATCTTAAAAAATAAATATTCATTATTGATCTACAGTTCCAAAATATTTATTGCCAAAAATCTCCAAAACTTAGAAATCGTAAATCTTAAATTGTATTTAAGGCATGATCAAATCCTGATGTTATTACTTTTACTTTCGGAAATAAATGTAGCACTCTTGAGAAACCCTTCTCACATCAAATTACATTAACTGTAGTTATATTATCTTAATTTACTCAAAGTGATAACCATGCCTTTATAGCTTTTTTATTCTATCTCCAGTTCTTATCATTGCATCTGTTGAAGTTAACTATTTTAATATTAATTTATACTTATTTTTGATCTACATCTTCTGGTAATTTACAATAAATTAATTATGGATCTTTTGTCTAAGAATGTTCCTATACAAAAATAAAACCAACAGATTTTCCTGGAAATACTTTCAAAGCCTTTCCTAAAAATGCTTTCCAAATCTTACCATTACTACTACAAAAAACTATTTCTGCTCAAAGTTTATCACTTATGCTTATTATGATTAAGTTTTTTATCCTTCTCATGATGACATTTTCTTTATATGCTCTGAAATAACTTTCTCAAATAGTAATATAATCAGTCGATCTTAATATAATCGAAAATGTTACGAAAAACCCGCTGTATATGCTCTACTTGAAATTTATCTAATACAATCAGATTGAGAAACTTTAGACAAAATTGTTATAATTCTGTATGAGAGATGAATGAAAAATAAGGTGCACAACATTTTAATTGATTTTATTATTATCATTAGGTTACAGAAACAGAGCCAATAAGTCCTATCAATCCTGCCTATACTATTTTTAAATTTATCTAATTCATCTTTAGTATTTTTATGTTTATAATAATTATGATTGTGAATTATTACAAATTATTTTTCTACTCTTAAAAGTACATAAATTAGAAGCAAAAAAAAATATGATCTTACTTTTATTAATATTAAAACATTAATAAATTATTTATGATGTTTTATATTAGAAAAATTTTGGAATCAATTAAGAGTAACCTTAATATTTCTGCTTCAGCTGCTTTGATACTTGTTATATTTTTTCTCTCTAAAGCTAAAACAAATCCAACTTTACCAGTTGTTAAAATTAGCAACTTTATGTTGGTACTCTAAAAAAAATTAGTAGAAGAAGTAGTTTATGATGGAACTCACATTATATTCAGATGTGTTAATTAAGCCTAATGGATGTCAACTTAAGCTAAACCCATGATAAATGGAAAAGAATTGCTCAAGGCATTAGTGTAAGAATTTTACCTATATATTTTAGTGAGTATGGTGTTCCTAAATTTTATAATTCCACCTAAATCTATTACTCTGAAAAATAAATAATGTATTTACTTATGAGTATAGCCGCTACGTCTTATGTTTTTGGAATAGTAGCATCTCATTTCATAAACTTCAGAGGATTTTCAAATAAATCTATGATTGCTTAGCCAACAGGAGTCAAATTTTCGAATATTTATGGTTTGAATCATGCAAAAAAATAACTCTAATAAATAATTGAATATTTATAAGATCCTTAAAAATTTAGGAGTGTAGGTGCTAGATTAAGAAGAGGAGTTATGATTTATGGTCCTCCAGGAACTGGAAAAACTATGCTTGCCAAAGCTACTGCAACAGAAAGCAATGTATAGTTTTTATATTGTTCTGCAACTGAATTTATAGAAATCTATGTTGGAACAGGTCCTAAAAGAGTTAGAGAATTATTTACAAAAGCAAGATAAATATCTCCATCAATTATTTTTATTGATGAAATTGATAGTATTGCATATAAAAGGAAAAACTAAAACTTTGGAGCAGAAACTGGTAGTGATAATGAAAGGGTAAGCACACTCAATTAATTACTTACAGAATTAGATGGATTTAAAGAGAATGAAAATATTGTTGTAATAGCAGCAACAAACAGAATTTAAATTTTAGATGATGCTCTTCTTAGAAGTGGTAGATTTGATATCAAAATAGAGATTCCATAACCATCAGAAAATGATAGAAAAGGCATTCTTGAAGTTCATTTAAAAAATGTAATATATAAATTATTAAGTCATATAGAAAAAACATTAAATAACTTCAGGAATGGTTGATATTGTAGCAAAGAATACAAATGGATTTTCTGGAGCTGATATGGAAAATATTACAAATGAAAGTGCATATATAGCTATAGAAAAATAATAAGAGTTCATCATAGATGGAGATTTCTTGGAAGCATTCAAAAAGATTAGTTTAGAAAAACAACACATGATGGGCTAATGATTAAATTTTTAATTGTTTTACAAAATATTTATTATTAATTATTCATAAGTATTTTTCTATCAGCATCTTAATATTATCAGGCACTGAATATGTTATTCTGAAGAATTCTTTAAAATAACAACCTAAATCTGACTTAAACTACTATTTTAAAATTTCTAAGGTATTAATTTAGACAATATGATTCAATTACTATTTCAATAAGATTAAAAAGATTGTCTAAAACCATACTCCTGTTTTGATGTGTTAACTCAATAGTTCACTCTTACCACTGCACATCCAATAGACAATTCGTTATAAATTTTAGATTCCCTATAAAATAAATAAAATTGGCTACTTCGACAGTGAAAAGATCTACAGGTTAAGCAGATATCACAAGGGCTAGGCCAGAAGTAATAACTATCTCAAATAATTCAAATTTAAGCTATTGAATTAGTGAATATAAATACACAACAAATGCTTAGAATACAATCTATAATTTCATTTAAATAATATTGTTTATTCTCTGTTGATTATAGAGCTTAGGTAAAGATAAAAAATATATTTGATTGAATGTATTTTTATTAGTATTCTTCTTAACATAGAGTCTTTCTTATGAGTAAGAAAGCATTTTTTTTTTAGTAATTTTTGAGTACTGTTGAAAAGATTTAATTATCATAGGGAACAAATTTTAATTAGAACAGTATAAGCCAAACTATATCATTATCAATATTTTTGAGTAATAGTTCAAATAATTATTTACTGATTTATTAGTACTCTTAAAAAAGAACCGCTTAAAACCAATCAGAATTATTTTAATATAATTTGATAAGAAAGTGTTACGAATGTCTATGTTTCTCTTTTTTGAGTAATTCCAGAGTTTTTGATTAGTACTCATTCATTATAGACTATTCTTAAGGAAATAGGATGATATTTATTGAATCAAAAGATAGTGTTAGAAGAAAGTATTCTAATTGAGTATTAGCTAACAACTAAGGTGCTAGTTAATTTAAAAGATTAGTAAATGAACTAACACAGAATTGTTCTGGGATATCTATGAGATTTTCAAGCTTGGATTCTAAATTGACCATAATCTCAAGTGCTGCTGATATTTCATTTAAATAGAAGTGGTCATTGACTTCTTCAATAGATTTATTGAAGACTAAGGCAAGTTCCTTAAAATATAAAAAAAACACACCTCTTTTTTTAGTTCTTATTATTTCAAATACAATTATTCATATTAATAGATATATTGTTATCGTTTTTAGAGTAATTTATTTTGAATGTCCTCTTTTCTTTATGAATTTCTCACTTGCTCTCTTTTCAATTGAATTAATCCATCTGATGTGAGATTAGAGGGAAATTCTATATTTGAATTTAAATCCATAATATTTAATAATAATTATTAAAATTAAACGATTAAATTATATATATTTCATACTTTTCTTTTGATTAAATCTTTACCTGTGCCTCTGAGAATGAAATCTACACTAGGTCCATCCTATACTTTGATTCTATATTTAGATTTATATAATAATTCAGCAGTAGGCTATAAATAATGATAAATAAATTACTTTGAATCTAATAAGTATCTTAAATGGTTAAACACCTAATTCTCTAATATCATCAATGGTAATTTGATATGGTAAACATGTAGCATGAGGTAATGTATGAACCATAGTAGATGGACCATCTAATTTTCCTTCAGTAATTTAAAATTCAAAAACAGAAGGATCATCAGTTTTCTTCATTTCTTCTTTATCCTCTAAAGTCATAGTTCTTTCAACAACATTTTTTCTTAAAGGATTCTTTTAATGTTATAATTTCCATTATGCAGGTACTAATGATAAATTTGATAAATATATAGCTATTGTTTTAACTTCTTAAACTTCTCCAAAATCCAATACTTCAGGACCTTCTACTTAATCAATTCCAGAAGTATTCAAATGAACAAAAGGTCTAAGTAAAATTCCTTCTAATTATATTGATTGTTTATCTCCATTAGCATAAAATATATTAATTGATCCATGATGATACACTTTATAAGTAAGAGGCCAATTAATTGGATCACTAGGTTAATAACCATCAAACTTTATTAACAATTCTACATGTGAATCTGTTACTAAATTAAATGTCTTTGCTATTTCACTCTTCATACCTAATTCATATTTTTAAGGAGAATTTGTTGATGTCTATATTAATTTAAATGGTCCTTCAATCTCAAAAGTGCAAACAAAACTTGATTTCTATCTATTTACTAAAACCAATTTCTTTTCTTATTTTTCATTAAAACCACTTGACCATTTTTAAAATTTAACTTAAAATCCTCCCTCTAACTTTTCAAGTTTATCAAATGTCAAATAAGGTGTAATAGTTTCACTTTTAACATAAAAAGCGACTTCTCCTATAGTTTTATCTTAATTTATAAGTCTTGGTCTTGCTACTAAACAAGCACTATAATTTCCAGTATCTTAAGTAGTGAAATGTAAAGTAAAATGTTTTTCCTTCCTTTATTTAATTCTCTCTTTATTTGGTACCACTTAAAATGGACCATCTTTTGATTCTGGAGGTTCATTTGCTATAAATTATACATCACATAATTAATCTGATCCTAATTATGGATCTGTTATTTTAATATTAAAATAATCAGATATAGTACTATTTCCTAAATTATAAATTTTCCATTCTAATTCAACATCTTAAGGACCTGTATTCTACACTCTAAAATCTCTACTAATTGTTCCAAAATTTCTCATATAAGTACCCAGATCAAATGTAGGAAAGTCTGTCTTATAATTAAATCCCAATTAACTTGGACTTATTACTATTGGAGATCCTTTAATATCTATTGCTATTGGAAATTCTTTTGTTGGTAATCCTCTAATATCACAACACATTAAATCTTCAAATAATCCACATATATCATTAAATACAGTTACCTAAACTACTACTGATCCATATGCATTCAATGTACCTTATGATGGTTCAAATACTACTGCTATTCCCAAATTATTTGATAAATACACTCTCTAATCATGTTCCATCTTCTTTTATTTATTTAATTTCAATCCTGCTTCTGATGTAAAATTATGTGTTTTCTCTATCTTATTTGTTAATAACACTACTGGTCTTCCACCTTAAGTAATCTTTCCTTTTTTAGATACTGATTTTGATATTGAAGATTCAGCAAACTTTATTGTTCTTGCTGCCTATGATTTAGCATCAAAATCATCAAAAAGTGTTGATTATTCTTCTAAAGCATGTGGTTAATATTTTCTCATAAATAAATTAAATTATGTATGAATACCAGATGTATTCTTTATCAAAAATTTTGCTTACTTTGGTTAATTTATTGTACAATTATAAAATTCTAATTTATCCATCTATTAATTTTTTATTTCAGTATCTGCCTTCAAAAGTGACTTTCTTGAATCTTTTAAACTTTTTGATTTTGAACTAACTGATGTTTTTGAAGATATATGTGCACTATCATCAACCAATTCATATTCTACAGATAAACCATAAATCATAGTATTCATTTCAAAACCTAATGGATATTACAATCCTTGAACTTCACATACAAAAAGTTCATTTAATTTCCCTCCTTCTTTTGGTTTTATAGAAAATTTCATTATTTAATTTGTTTTAGGTTTTAGAACTCCTTTTTTTGGTTCAAATTAAACCAAATATTTATCTTATTTTTCATTATCTACAACCCATTCAAAAGGTGTACTGATATTTCCTAAATTTTATAACATTATGTATTATTATGCTCTTTAATCAAAAGTATATGTATTCCCACAATACAAAGTATCAATATTTAAAGATAATCTATTTAATGAAACACTTGGATTCTAAACCTCTGCAAATACATCTAAAACTACGCAATCACCATTTTCAACTTGAAAATATAAGAAATCATTGTAAGTTTCTGCTTCTCTCGATTAAAACTCAACTTTAAATTAAATAGAACTATTTGGTTTAATCTCAAATTGATCTTTATTAAATAATAATCTTTAATCAGATCCTGATTAGGCTTTAATCAAAGCGGAAACTGGTGATTAATTATTGATTGTTAATTCTTATGATTCCAAAGAATAAGTTTGAATTAATCCATAATTCAACCAACTTTATTTAACTGATATAATTGGAGCTATAATCTCAGCAAAGACTGTTATTAATATAGAGTTAGCATAATCAAAGTCAATTCTATATTCTAATTTGATTTAGCCAACTTCTGTACTTTGAACTCCTAAAATGATCTCAGCTTCACTATTAATGATACCTTATTTTTCTTAAATATAAAAATAGTCTAATTGAAGTGAATTAATTGAATATTTAATTTAAGTTTTAGAAGTTGTAAACAATTTAAATTTATAAGTCTATAAAGTATTCACACATATAGGAACAGGAAATTTGTAGAATTGAGGTGTAACACTAACTTCAGCAAGTGCAGATTTACTAATTAATTCAAATTCAAAATAGGTAATAGATGGTTTAATACTATTAGATCCAATAGCAACAGATTATGAATTATTTTCAAATTATTATTTCAAATTAGGAGGAGGATTTCGAATACTTTCAAATGGGATATCATCTATAATTAAATAAGCAGTTTAAAATAGAGGATAATATTCTTCACTCTTTAAGAAGATTTCAAAATCTACAATTTCATTAGGTTAAAAATATCCTTCTGGAGGTTATATAGTATAATAATTTTGTTCATCTTCCAATTTTAATTCTTTATCATCATTTTGTAAATACCAATGATATTTAACTTTAACTGATGTCTTATTTCTTATTTTTAATTTTCTACTGGTCTCAACTTTAGGAATAGGATCATTAAAAAATATTTTATGTAATTATTCTGAATTTTCTAGATTAATATTATCAATTCCTAAGATTCCTAATTCTACCATATTGCCTCTCCCAATTAATTTTAATGTAGCCTAAGTTAAATTATCACATCCTAAGATGATATTCTCTATTACTTCTCCTTCAAGATCTGGTTTAAAAATAGCCTAAATGATTTAAGTTTCTCCTTTATGCAAAAAAAACTCAGCAGGAGATAAATAAAAATTGCCAATCTATATATAATTTTCTTCTTCTTACTAATCTTATTGATTATTAATAAAAAAACGATAACCTGCTTCTCCTCCAGAATTCTTTACAACAAATCTAGTTTCTACTTGATCACCAATCCAACAACTTTAACAATCTAATTATGATGGTAAGTCTAATTATGGAGGTTCCTTTCTAGCTAATAATGGAACTTTTAAGATGTGATCCTCTGTTATTACAGCAATTGTATCATCAAACTCTGCCAATGAAGATGGATTAAATCTCACCTTTAATATCGCACTCATTCCTGGAGCTATACATCCATCCTCTTTTGTTGGATATTTTATTGATGCTATCTGAAACTCCTTTCTAAAATTATGTTAATTCACTCACTTTTCAGGGGGCAGCACTTTCACTCTCTACAAAATACCGGTGGCATTTGTAACATACAAATCTATTTCATACATCCCATTCAACATGTACTCTCTAAACACCAATTATTTGGGAAAAACTCTAAAAGATGTCACTTAATCTTTCTCTACTACTATATCCTAAATTAATTCAATCTAATCTTACTTATTTTGTGTTGATATAAGAAAATAGAACAGGTGCTTTGTTTATTTTGTATCGAGGATTCTTTAGATAATTTACTCTCTTATTCATATTCTTTATAATCTGATTATTGACTTCTTTATCCTTTTCATTCATTTCCAATAAAAAGTTACTCTTATTTTTCTTCTATGTGACCGGTTTCAATTAACCTGTTTCTTTCATAAGAAGTTATTTAATATTAATATATATATAACTTTAATATATATATTTTATATTCAAGGTACCATAATTATGTTTGCCTTTGCCTTTTTTAACAATTCATCTGCTGTTGAACCAAAGAAAGTCTTGCTTTCTAATTGTGCTCTATATCCATTTGAACCAAATACAACAAAGTCGAGATCATCAGAATTATTAATCATTTCAATAACATTTTCTATTGCTCTATAAGAAGCATCTAATTATTTATATTACCATTTTCTCTAATATTTTGCCATAAACTCCTCAACTTTTGTCTTTATTGTCGTTCCAAAGGCTTCTCTATCAGGAGTTGGAGCAAAGCATATCAATAAACTGTCACGTTCATCAAAAGAGAGGGCAACAGCACTTTCTAATGATTTATAAGATTTCTTCGATCCATCTATACAAACCACAAATTTAAATCCATTTGTCTCATCCCTTTTATAGAGTTTCTTAACAGCTATTAAAGGCACTTTACTATTGTATACTGAATTTCTCACTGTCTATCCTAAAATTGTGACATCCTATTTCAATCCCTTTCTACCATTAAATCCTACTATTAAATAACTCACATTTAAATCTCCTGCAATATTCAAGATTTAATCTCTCACGTTTTCTTAACCTTATCCTTTCTCCTAAAAAACTAATTAGTAGTTCGCTTCTGGATACTAAAGAGATAAAAATTAAATGAATTATTTACTCTTGATAATAATTCAATCTTATAATCTTCATATATTGTTGTGCTTTGAAATTCGAAAGGTAAATAAGTTTTGGATTGATCTGAAACATGAGCTACTATAATTTTATTAAAAATATTCTTATATTCAAAGAACTCAACTGCTTACTAATAAAATTAAACAAATTAAGTACAAAGAAAGCTTATTTGGACGCTTGCGATCCATCAGTTGCAACCATTATATTCGATTTATTTAATTCCATAAAAATAATTAAATAAAATTTTTGAACTTAAAAAATTTGACATATATAGTACAGTAAATATTCATAGATTTAATGGTTAAACCTTATTAATAAAATTTTAGATATTTACATTCATTTCTGGATTTGAAAAATTATCATTAAAATATATGAGCTTTGATCATACATATAATTTCGGCCATTATTAATGATATGAATCCTGATAGACCATATTTAGATGTTCTTTTGCTTTTATCATTTCTATAGGCTAGACATAATAACAAGTCAGGATAAACTTTACTAAAATATGATATCCAAGCTCAATTTTTCTTGAATTACAATCCTTTTAATGGCAATTGTAATTCTAAAGGCCAATTTAAGTATTAAAACACAATATTATTATATCGTTCCACTTCTATTTTATGGATTATGATAGCAAAAGTTAAATCCAAAATAAGATTTTAGATCATTAAAAAAAGCTATACTCTAAAGGTTTTTGAGTCTATTGAGTTTTACAATCAGAAAAATAAAAAGATATGAAATGATATCACTTAGTAGAATTAGTAAATATTTAAGATATTTATACCAGGTTTTAAAAAATAATATAGTAAAGCAAATTA